ATTTAATTAAGCCCGGTCTAGATGGTTAAATAAAAAAAGAATAATTATTCCTAATAAAATATATTTGGAATAATTATTTTTAAGAATAATTATCATAATATAACCGGCCTGGCTTAGTTATGATATTTTCCTTATCAGAGAGGACACGTGTCATCATCCTATGGATCCAAGAAGCCTATAAATAGAGGCCTGAAGGAAGGGAGAGGGGTATACAAATTCAGAATTCAGAAGTCCAGAGACTCAGAAATCCAGAGACTCGGAAATCCAGAGACTTAGAAGTCAGAGACACAAATTCAGAATCCCAACTCAAAAGCGAAGAACATCAAGCACATCCAACAACGTGCCGTTCTTCATCAAATCCCACGGTGATCAATAACAAGCACATCCAACGACGTGCCGTTCTTCATCAAATTCCACGGTGATTCAAGAACAAGCTCGTGCAGCCCTTGGATCCAACCAACAACAAAAAGGAGATCGAATTAGAGGACCATTCTTTTTGTAAAAGATATCACAAAGGATTGTACTCTAAATATTTCTGATTTAATAAATTATTATTTTGCCCATATTTTGTCTTTATTGCAGAGTACAAAATTTGTGTGTACACACGTAACGTTTCTTTTTTATTACATATACATAAACTGATTCAACAAGTTGTTAATTGTTGTTCTATACTGGGTTTATCTTGGTAATGAAATTGATATGCGTGCTTTATGGTATGTGAATTCTTGTGTTTATGGGCACCACCTTAAAAGAAGCAATTTTATATGCATTTATAGAAGTGATAGAAACAATATATATATATATATATACACACATGACACTATGTATAACATTTCTGTCTTGTATAAATATATGTGTGTGTTTTTGGAATGAAACTCTAGTCAGTTTCATGTGTATGCATATATACACACACACACACATATGGGACCGTACATATTTTCTATGAAGGTATATATTGTTTTCAACAATTGATTTAAACAAGTATACTAATGTCCAGTATAGTAAAAATAAATAAATAAATAAATAAATAAATAAATATATATATATATATAATGTATCAAAGGAACAGACCAAATAAGTGGTATCATTATTATGAAAATGTATTGAAATTGGCATAATAAATATAATTATGCATATTACCTCATGTTTAATATTAATGCATATTTTTATATTAGACAGATTCATTTGGGGAAATTGAATCATTTTAAAATCCTAAGCACAAATGTAAATGAAATTAGATTGGGTGTTTAGTCACCAAAATGACACACTATGATAATTTCAATAGTATGCTAGTGGTAAAAATTATGTTTTTGCTAAAGTTAAAGGATTGGAATTGCGTTTAGTTGAGACGAGCAATAATTTAACCCAAAGGTGGATTATTGAGATTTGTCCAATTAAACGAATTGAGATAATTAATGTAGAATATATAATATATAATATACTATTCCCAAAGGAATTTATTTTTTGATATTATATTATCTATGATTAATGAGTCTCAAATGTGAAATTTGTTTCACTAGTGGGAGACTAACATTTAACAATATTAGCCTAAAGGAAATATTATTGAATGTGATGTCGATCCCATTTGGAGTCAATTATTTTGAGGCATTACATATTGATTCTGGAAAGTTTGATTGTTTTCCCATCAATTAAACTATTTAATTATATTTTATGTCATGACAATTAGTTCATTACCGTGTGTGAAGGCCCTGATTAGGTCTAATTTCTCGAACTGGAAAGATGAAATAATTTTAAATTTGGGACTTGGGGATTTAGACTTAGCCATTAGGTCAGATGAACCACCTAAGCCTACAGATACTAGTGGTGTAGAGGTGAAAAAGGAATGGGAGAAATGGGATAGGTCTAATAGACTTAGTCTAATGTATATTAAGAATAATATTCCTAAATATATTAGGGGTTCCATTCCTGATGAACCATTGGCTAAGGATTACCTTAAGGCTCTAGAAGAACATTTTACTATTTCAACTAAGTCACTGGCTAGCACTCTTATGACCCAATTAGTAACCGCAAAATATGATGGTCTTACTGATGTGCGTGAGCATATCATGAAAATGACTAATACTGCTTGTCAATTGAAAAATCTGGATATGGAAGTTATTGACTCTTTTCTAATCCACTTTATTATGACATCCCTTCCTGTGCAATTCAATATTTTTAAAACTACTTATAATGCGCAGAAAGATAAGTGGAAATTAATAGAATTAATTAGTATGTGTGCACAAGAGGAAGAGTGAACCCGACACAATAAGCCCGATATGGCACACATTGTGGATCAGAAAATAGTCAAGAAAAATAATAAGAAAATTGGGAAAAGGGGTTTAAAGGTTAATGATGTTGGACTAGTCAGGCACATAAAGTGGGGAAAAATAAAGTTCAATGCTTCTGGTGTCACAAGCGAGGCTATGTCAAAAAGGAATGTTTTAGTTACAAAAACTGGTTAGCAAAGAAAGGTAGCACCCATTGTTTAGTGTGTTCAGAATCTAATTTAGCCATTGTTCCACCAAATACTTGGTGGATTGATTATGGGGCTACTATTCATATTTCTAATTCCTTGCAGGGATTCATAGGGAGCCAGAAAATCAATCCCAACCAAAGGAAACTCACCATGGGTAATGGGGTAGAAGCGCAAGTTAAAGCTATGGGAGTTGTTCATCTTATCCTTAGTAGTGGTTCTGTATTAGAGTTAGAAGATGTTTTGTATGTTCCTTAAATGTCCAGAAATTTGATCTCTGTACCTAAACTTGATCTGTTGAATTATGAATTTCGTTTTAGTAATTGTAATATCAATATCTTTTATAATTCCAAATTTATTGGTTCTAGTTCATTGGTTGATAGTCTTTATCTTCTAAATCTTGACCCATATTTTTCACAATCTCTTTTGTCTTTTAATGTGAGTACCAAACGTGATCTTACCAATGATTCTTCTTCTATGTTATGGCATAGGCGTTTAAGTTATATCTCTAGAAAGAGATTAGAAAGATTGGTTAGAGAAGGTGTTCTGAACACATTAGATTTTTCAGACTATGGCATATGCATTAATTGTGCTAAAGGAAAGTTAACCAAGTCTAGACATAAGGGTGCTACTAGAAGTAATGGCCTCTTAGAGCTTATACACACAGACATATGTGGTCCTTTCATTCCTGCTACACTAAATAGGAAAAAATACTTTATTACATTTATTGATGATTATTCTCGTTATGGTTATGTGTACTTTATTAGTGAGAAACCTAAGGCACTGGATATTTTTAAAATTTATAAGACAGAAGTCAAGCGTCAACTTGATAAGAAAATTAAAGTAGTATGATCTAATCGTAGTGGTGAATACTACATAAGACACGATCATACAGGTCGTAATCCAGGGCTATTTGCAAAGTATCTACAGGAGTGTGGTATAGTTGTGCAGTATACCAAGCCAGGTACCCCTGAGCAAAATGGTGTAGCTAAGCGAAGGAATCGCACTCTTATGGATATGGTGCGAACTATGATGAGTAATTCATCTTTATCAGATTTTTTGTGGGGTGAAGCTCTTAGGACTGCTGCGTATATCCTAAATCGAGTGCCATCTAAGGCAGCCTCAAAGACTCCTTTTGAGTTATGGACAGGAAGAAAACCTAGTTTAAATCACTTACGTATTTAGGGATATGCAGCAGAGGCTGAATTATATAACCCACATGAAAGGAAACTTGATCCCAGGACAGTCAGTTGTTATTTTATAGGATATCCAGAAAGGTCAAAAGGTTATAGATTTTATTGTCCATCACATAGTACCAAACTTGTTGAGACTCTAAATGCTAGGTTTATTGAGGATGGTTACACTAGTGGGAGTATAGAGCCCAAGCACATGGTATTTAAGGAAAATTGAAATATAAATTTAGTTCCTCGGGATGACGTAGTTGTCCCACTTGCTACGATGTAAGATGGTGATTTAAGTCATCAAGAGCCTGAAGAGCAAACACCTCACATTGAAGAAATCTTAAATGAACCAATAGTTGACATGCCATTACGAAGATCAAGGAGAGAAAGGAAAAGTGCTATTCCAGATGACTATAAAGTGTATCTACAAGAGATTGAGTTCAACATTGGTAAATAAGATGATCCACTATCATTTTCAGAAGCCAAAAGTAGCACTTTTGCTCAACAATGGTCAGATGCAATGGAAGATGAGTTAGATTCTATGAAAAATAATCAAGTTTGGGATCTAGTTGACTTACTAGAGGAAGTCAAACCCATTGGTTGTAAATGGGTATTTAAAACTAAACGATACTCAAAAGGTAAAGTTGAAAAGTATAAAGCTCGACTTGTTGCTAAGGGTTTTACTCAACAAAAGGGTATCAACTTTAAAGAAACTTTTTCTCCTGTTTCAAAAAAAGACTCTTTTAGAATCATAATGGCATTAGTAGCTCATTTTGATTTGGAGTTACATCAAATGGATGTAAAAATTGCATTCATAAATGGTGACTTGCTCGAAGAAGTTTATATGGAACAACCCGAGGGTTATGAAATTGAGGGCAAAGAACATATGGTGTGCAAGTTAATGAAATCTATTTAAGGGTTAAAACAAGCATCAAGACAATGGTACATAAAATTTGATGAGATAATTACTTCATATGGGTTTAAATAAAATATTATTGATGAGTGTATTTATATGAAAGTCAGTGGGAGTAAGTTCATTTTTCTAGTGCTGTATGTTGATGATATCTTACTTGCTAGTAGTGACATTGGCCTATTACACGAGACTAAACATTTTTTATCTCAAAGTTTTGAAATGAAAGATCTTGGTGAAGCGTCATTTGTCATTGGCATTAAGATTCATCGAGATAGATCTCGTGGGGTTCTTGGATTGTTACAAAGAGCCTATATAGAAAAAGGTTCTTAAAAGATTTGATATGCAACATTGTAAAAGTGGAATTGCCCCTATAGTAAAAGGTGATAAATTTAGTAAATTCCAGTGTCCGAGAAATGACCTAGAGCGGGAACAAATGAAAAACATTCCCTATGCATCTGCAGTTGGGAGTTTAATGTATGCTCAGGTTTGCACACGGCCAGACATAGCATTTGTTGTTGGTATGCTAGGCAGATACCAAAGTGATCCTGGCATGGATCATTGGAGAGCGGCAAAGAAAGTAATGAGGTACCTGCAAAAGACAAAGAACAATTTGCTCATATATAGAAGGATCGACAAGCTTGAAGTGGTGGGTTATACAAACTCTGACTTTGCTGGTTGTCAGGATAGCATGAAATCCACTTTAGGATTTATCTTCATGATGGCTGGAGGAGAAATTTCATGGAAAAGTATTAAACAAACACTAACTGTTTCATCCACCATGGAGGCAGAGTTTATTGCATGTCATGCATTATGGTTACGGAACTTCATCTCAAGACTTATGGTGGTAGATTCTATTTCTAAACCATTGATGATTTTCTATGACAATTCCGCTGTAGTTATGTATTCAAGGAACAACAAGAGTTCAGGAAAATCTAGATATATAGATATTAAATACTTTGTTGTAAAAGAGAGGATTCAGAACCAGCTTGTGTCTATTGAGCACATTAGTACACAACAAATGATTGCTGATCCCATTACTAAAGGACTGTCGCCTAAGCTATACAGTGAACATGTTGCTCATATGGGTATTATTGATAGCTTTGATTTACTTCGTTAGTGGAAGATTGTTTTTTGACTCAGTTGTAGACACATTTGTATTTGTGATCACAGTTACTTATATTATATTATACTCATTTATTTACTTTTTCATATTGGTGCACGTGTGTATAGAAAATTATAAGTGTCATTTATGAGACAAGATAGGAGCGAAGCATGGCATAATACTTTATTGTTTAGCACATGCGGTATTTATGTATAAACTTGAAGTTGAGTGTATTAATGTTTGTGACCATTGATATCATATATTATTAAATATTATAATGACGTCCTTGATCCAATATTGCTATACTTGTTAGGACTTCATGAAAGTTTTTTGATACAATGATTCTCTAAATATAGATAATTTATATAACGACCCAAAAAGATACTAATTGACATTACTAAAATTCGGTCGACCGGTATGACCTCTACAGAAAAAAAAAGTCCTACTACAACCTATTGTAATGTATATGAAATGCAATGGCCTCACTTAGGCCTTCAAAACTAAACTAACCTACTCCAACACACAATGCAAATAATAAACCTTAATAAAAAATCTAAAACATCAACACCATCCTCAAAAGAGTTCATCATCATCCCATTCACCTCTAAATATATATAAACATAGCTACTACATGCATCATTGGCTATTAGTAAGACATTTGAAACTTACATCAAATACAAACAAGGTTCTTGGTTTCCTTTACAGGCCACAATATATAAAATGTACATGTCTTAAAAAAAATTACACAAAACGAGACTTAGGTACAAGAGGTAACAAAATAAGCTTTTAAAATCCTACCTACACCTATGGTGGAGCGTCGTCCGCCACTTCCTTTCTGTATCCTGAAAAATATTAATAATAAAGGGGTGAGCAAATTGTTCTGTCGGTGGTGCCTAAGACACACCTCTTGTAACCCCGTGAATCCAAATAATGAATAGGAACAAGGGAAACGGGATCATGCCATGCCGGGAAGAACTTAGCAACGAAATCAACAACCACGGATCAAAGTTGTAATGAACCATGCTACGCAATAAGATGCAATGTCATGCAATGTCGCTCCCCATTTCTAAAATATTTCCTTCATCATTTCCAAACCGTTAATGAAACCCGTCCCATGACAATTCCATGGCGGCACGAGAAGAGGATTGGTTAACAGTCCCTTACCCATGGCAACTCCATGGCGTCATTTGGGGCCCAGGTAACTCAACCATGCTAAGGCAATCTCCCTAGTCCCCTCTAGGTCGCACTAACGCCACAGACCTTAGGCAACTCTTAGGCGACCGGGTTTTTCGCAAACCTTTCATTTCAAAATCCTTTCCCAAAACCATTTTCCATTGCTTTATAATTTTTTTATTTTTATTTTTATTTTATTTTATTTTATTTTATTTTTTTTCATGCCCAATGATAAATACATGAAATGTCACATGTCAACCAATGTCAATATATAATTATACGAATTTCATTAACATCATGCTAGCAAGTTTAAAATAAATTCTCACATCAAGTCATATTTTCATTCTCATTCTCATCAAATATAACATTATAAATAAATGGAGCATGTAGATAATTCAACTAAACATTTATATTTCATCACAATTCATTTAAACATACAACTTATCACATACAACACATAAAACCACCTCATCATGCTTCATTTACACATAGATTTCAAATAACCATAATGATATTCATAATTTAGTGAACAATTCAACAATTTCTATAAAGAAAATTCACAAGGAGCAAATAAATTATAGCTTAGAAACCCCTACCTCAATTGGAATGAAAATTCCAATTACCACCGAAATGAAATCGCCCCAAATTTTTCGTCTGCAAAATTAGATTTTTCAGCTTGTTACCTTTAACTTCAAAAATTCATAAAAATTTCATTTCTTTAACAAATTGAATGATTCCAAAGCCCATTGAAAGCTTAAACACTATATTTTGATAATATCAATTTAGTTTAACAAAATCCTTGCCTGATTGAAACAGTTTTGACACAAAAATTCGAAGAAAATTCTGCCCAGAAAACAGATTTTCAGCACGTACCTTTCAACTTTGAAAATTCATGGAAAATTCAATTCTCAACCAAATTGAGTGAATCTAAAGTCAATTGAAAGTTTAAAGACTATAGTTTGAAACTATCAATTTAGTTTAACAAAATACCTCACCATTTAAAACAGTTTTGATGAGAAAGGTCGAAGAAATTCTGCCCCCAAAACTGAATTTCCAGCAAGATGACTCCAACTTCACAAATTCATAATAAATTCATTCTTCAACCAAATTGTGTGAAACCAAGTCTCAATGGAAGATAATTGACTATATTTTCATAAAATCAATTTGTCTTAATAAGATAATTTTTGAATTTAAATGAATTTAGGCAAAATATAATTCTTTCTATTCTAAAAAAAAAAAAAAAGTATACTTGACAGCAAATAATCAAATAAAACACTTGAATAACATAGATCAAGAAGTTAATATAATCATACCTCAAGAAGAGTAAAAATCCCCCCAAGTCCCACCGGACAAAAGTTCACCAAATCCAAAAAAAATTTCATAGAACCGAAGTTGTCCTCCTATGGCTTCCTCAAAATCCTAAGATCGAAAATCACCCGAAATTCCAAAGTACTCCAAACTCTTATTTTCTTCCATATAATTGAAGAGGAAGAAGAGAGGATAAGCTTTCTCTCTTGGAATATCTTCTAATTCCCACCTTAAGGGTCTCAAATGGAGGAGAGAGAAAGTAGATCTTGGAACTCATTAATGGTGGAAGAAGAAGAAGAATGACAAAACTTTGCCAAAATCTCATTACTTAACCCAAATGTTTCTAAGTAATTACTTCCTTCCTCAAAGCAAATTCTACTTAAATACACTAAGACAGCATTCCATCATAACCATAACAATTAGGTCCGCAATGATCCTTCATTTAGGTCCCTGCAATTCCCGAACACATGTACCACCCCGAGTCCACTTACCCGACTATAACAAATGAACTCAACTAGGAAAAGAATTCTATTCGAGAATACTTGTAATGGAAATAAAAACTTCAAAAACTTAAGGACTAAATCCTTAAGACAAAAATCAATCCCGACTAGTAACAGAGTCATCTAAATAATAAATAATAATAATAATAAAATTAAATAAAATAAAAAAAAATTCAGGTCACTATAATTTATTTAAAGTGTGCACACCAACATTATTTTAAAAAATATTTTTCAAATATATATATATATATATATATATATATATATAAATATATAAAAGATTAATTATGATTATAAGACCAAGTGGGAGAATGTAAGAAAAATGGTCTTATTATTATTAATCTTAACTTTTATTTAAATGATTTTATAATATTCATATTTAAGAGATGTGATTGTTATCATATAACTACAGTTTATTTACAGAGGGGTGTGTTGGTTGATGGAACCAACATGACTCTTTTGGTAACGTTTAAGAAACAGTCCCAGCCCTCTATATATATAATACGTGAAAGAAAGTCTGTATCCATCGTCAGTTTCACAAGAAAGATAGAGGGTTGAAGAGTGTTTCTGATATAGCTCATCTCAAACTGCTAAAGATGGCAGGTATGTTTCTAAACAATATTTATGCATTATAACCATGTATTTTATTATCGATGAATTGCTTACACGTGGAGCTTCAATTTCCAAGGTCTCTTTTAGGTAAAAATAATTGGAAAGCCTTACGAGTTATATATAAGTATAAAATATATTATCTAGTTGTCTAAAAAGCTAAAAATATATGCTGGGAAGTTCTATTTGGTGAACTCCGGTTATACAAATCTGCCAGGTTACTTGTCTCTGTATCGGGGTCAACGGTATCACTTACAAGATTACCATAGGAATTCGAGAGGACCACGTGGTCGTGAAGAAGTATATAATCATAGACACTCATCGTTGAGGAATGTCATAGAGCGTTGTTTTGGTTTGTTAAAGATGTGATTCCCTATTTTAAAGTAGATGCCTCCATTTAATTTTAATGCTTAAAAACTTATTGTCATAGCATGTTGTACAATACACAATTTTATAAAAGCATAGGATCAAAGTGATATTATCTTTGATGGTAATGAGTTAGGGGATTACCTAAAATCTTCTTCTTCACAAAGTGAGCCCCATGTAGAGGTAAACGCAATGCCAGGTCATGTACGAGCAATGGATCACATCCATGATAGTGTTGCTGATGTAATATGGAGGACTGTGTAATGCCGTTGAGAATATCCATTTGAACCTGACTTATATGACATTGGATGACTGCAACTTTATTAGTACTTCTAACTGACTTGAATTGCTTTTAGTTTCACTTATTGCATTGCGGGATGATTGTATGTAATTTTGTAGTATATTTGTTGTATTTGTGGTTCTTGTTGCATGTTAACTCTATTTGATAAATATGCAGTCATGTATCAAGTACAGGGATCATTGTGTGCATGTGGTAAAGGTCCATGAATCTTTACAGGGTAGGAACTCAAGGAAAAAAAAAAAAAAAAAATGGGACGTTTCTTCTATAGATGTCCTAAATGGGAGGTATGGTTAAATGTACACATCATAATTGCTATGATTTATTATGTTGAATATGTTATCAAATTTCTTGTCATAATTATACACGTCTTTCATTGTATTTTTTAAAATTCTTTTTTGAGATTGTCTTGAATCCCTAATTTTCGTGCTTTATTTTATGTGGGTTCCATTATCTAGTATGATAGGAATTTTAGTAATTGTCGGTCCCTGGTGGATTTCACATGCACACTAGAATTTTATCTATGGGTATTTGTATTTTTGGTTGAATTCTGATGACTATGGATGTATATTGGTGAACTTTAAAGGTTATTACTATAGCATAGATATTAAAAAAAAAAAAAAAAATTTGGAACCCTTTCATAAAGTAATCGCAGCTTATGTCTCAGAAGCATAGAGTGTTCGCATGAAGAAGTGGGGGTAATGATAAGTGAAAAAAAGAAGAAAAGAAATAAATAATATTTTGCTATAGAAAATAACTTG